ACAAAGTCGACAGCGGAGCTAAAAACAATAGAGAAGAGAAAGAAAATAGAAAAGAGAGAAAGAATAGAGAAGAGAGGAACAGTAGAGAAGGGTTGGATAGGCAAATTCCGGCAAACTTAAAGGAACGAGAACATCCAATTAGGCAAGACAAACAGGATTATATAACAGTTATGTAAATATTTTAGCACCTTCTCTAGTCACCATATTGAAGTATATGTTATGTTCGTTCTTGAGATTTGCATTTGCAGTGCATCAACTTGTTTTTTGCCTAATTCAACAACAGGTAGAGAATTGTACAGAATAACCCTTATCTATAGCGCAAAGTTCAGGAAATTTGGTTTTACAGTGCTGTAAAATGCTCCTACCATTATAATGCAGATCCTGAACAGAGTTGTTTTTCATATCTGCCACAGAAGGACCAGTCCACTATTAATGACTAACCCCTTACTGTCACTACACACAGGTACTGTTAGAGGTCAACACTCACATACAATTATTGTGCTGTTACTAGGTTACCATTGTTGTAAAATAGCTGAGTCATGTGACAGTCAATACTGTGATATGTCATTGACTCATGACAGTCTCACTGTCACATGGTAGAATGTAGGTTAGTGTTATCTCAATACAAGTTTTGTAACAGCTATCTACAGAGGAGCAAATGTCAATACTGCCTATAAACACATTTCCCCACAGTAAACAATACTATACAATACACATTTAACATGTACAACTATGGGGAATTACTTTTTTACAGCCACCTGTAGGGGGCCATGTTCTTTGAAAATGGCAAACTGGGTTTCAGTCATAATTTTAAAAATGTCTTGTACTGTTTGAAATTGTGACAAATATGAAGGACATAATACATTGTATGGGTGAACAATTTTGTATACTAGTACATGTATATCAAGTATTTTTACTATATTTTACATTTTACTGAATACATATGCTTTACATAGGCTGACACATATATTTGTTTACATTTTGTGTTTATGCTGGTTGGCAAGAAACAGTCATTCACATTCTATGGTGAAATAATGGTGCTGTCTGCAGTTGCTGTATCAAATATACATGAACGTATTAATTAGGTTTAATAAAACAATGACTGATGGACAATGTTGTCATAACAGAACGAACTAGCTGGTTTGCACAAATTGAACAAATGACTCCACAGTGCGATGACATTAGCAACTCGTGTTTTTGTATTAGAAGGTTTATACTAAATTCGCTGTGAATTTGTCACATAGACACATCAGGTACCAGGGAAACTTAAACAATCTTGTATTAATAGAAATTATTTTAAACAATGATTATACACCTGTAGTATGATTAACCTTCCTCTAATATGTGAAAATGTAAATGTTTTGAAAACCAACCACACTAACATTAGGATTGCCCCTGCTGTCCTATCGACTTGATTGATGATAAATGAAATGGTTTGTTTACATGGATGTTTAACTCACCACTACATCAATTGATAATCGTGACGCAAATGGCCTGATCACATAATAACTATTTATTTCGCCTTCATCTTACTTTCATTTCCAGATTTTATAAAGAAGGCACCTAAATTCAGTAAAATTACATGGTATCACAACTGCTAGAAAGCATTTACGGTAATAACCATTTCATTTCTTATTTAAGTATAATAACAATATTGAACTGCATACTATATTTCCTAATCAGCACAGAAATAAATTTCCAGAAATTGAAACAGCACATATAAGAAAATTCTTGACTATACTGCATATTTGCTTCCAACAGTTTAATAAGGTCGAGTTAAACTGCGTGCTATTTGGAAACAAATTCCTCTTTTTTTTTGGCAACGAATCATATTAACAGATTTATCTAGTTTGATTTTAGAGCTCTATAATATCAGACCACTCCAGAAAAAAACAAACATGCACACACAATTATCCTCTCCTGCCATGGATTAATACCGCATCATTTATGGATCCAGGCTACACACACGAACACACATGCACATATTGCCATTTGCAACAACCTTTGCATTTCAAGGTTTTCTCTATTTATGATATCATTACATTCAAAACATGCATAAAATTTAAAGCACACAATTTGACCTTTATATCCCACTAAAAATATGATTATAATTATTGTGCTGAATGGCTGATTTCACATTGACCTTGAGAAACCTTCAATGTGTGTTCATGATACAGGTACTACACAATCAAGCCTGCTTTGGATTTGAAACCTCAGATCAACAACCATGATCTTTCTTTATGTTCAATCATAGGCCTAATAGTAAAATAGTTTGATTAACCAAGTGTTTAAAATGTCTAAATATTTGAATAAAACTGTGCAGAAATAATTTATTCGAGATAGAGAAAGTGCTCAAAAATAAATTACAATTTACGATGTTCACAAAACGCGTTATCATAAATATAAATAATCTCATGATCTGGATGGATCTCAATATTTCTATTTACGTCTTACATTTAATTAAATATTATTGACAAAATATTCTGAATGGACAGATATACTGAAACGAGTAGGGTGGGTCCTACGTAAACATAGAATAGCGCTATTAATTTTACGAGTTTACGAGCCAGGAAAAAAACACTAATGGCGCTGGGAATGGGAATAAAACGCCTTGAAGACATCCCCGAGCCCGATATGATTCTCCCGATAGCGGAATAGTTGCACGCAGACGTTACATTTTTTATATTAAACACCCATACTGTGTCAGTGGCTGTAATTAGTATGTGGGCAACATTCACTACGACGACGAACACACGAACGCAAAGCGTTTTTATAAAAGACGTTTACAAACAGTTTACTTTCATCTCCACGATCACCGAAACGCGCAGACGACATCTTGCTTCGGGTACGTTTGCACTTACCTCCAATCGGCGTATCTGTCTGGTAGTTTGGCTTACTTCGCTCCGCCATCAGGATTTCGTTTTCAGTGCCGTCTGGCGTTACTCTATTCGACATACACGGCCACTTTTTTGTGTACAGTCGGTGTAGCTGGTAGTATTTAAAACGTGAATATGCAAAACAACTCCCATCGCAGTGCGCCAGCACAAGACCCCCTAAGTTTGCTGTAAAATGCCCGCTGTTTACTCGAGATGATGACTAATAGTCATTGGACAACACTCCTTTCACGACTTCTCCGTGGTTACCAAGACGATCCATGGATCACAAGTAAATTATACAAGTCAACCAATGACTCTATTTCGCAATACTGTTCATTTCGTGATAAAAGTTGTCACAGTAGATGTTTGTTTTATGTGTTTGCAGGAAACTATGACGTCTTTGTTTTGTTATTTTCCCAATTTAATATGCAATAATCATATTTGTATCACTAGTATTATACACAACTATGTATATCTTGAAATCAGGACGTTGGTACATGGAGAGGTCATCGCTTTTTATGAAGATATTATAAAATACAATTTTCTAGGGTAGGTTTTTATCCCAAAAATATATAAATAAGATAAGATAAGACAACTTGAATTCTTTAGTACAACCATATTGAAAGAAATTCAATTTAGGTGAATACAAATGTAATAAAGGTATAACAAACTATTCTAAAAACTAAAACTATACTTATCATAAAGATACAGTAAAAAATATTACTGCTACATGAAGATAAAAATTAAAATATTACATTTCTATGAGTTTTTGTTTAACATTGATAATATTGTTTTCTTGTCTTATATGATGTTTTTATGTATTTAATTAATTCTTTTATCAATGGTCTGTTCTCAGTATTTAAAATGTAAACAAGTTTTTCTGTATTATTTGCTTGAACAAAATTTTCAATTGATTCTGAAAATGTTGTGTATAATCTTACTCTGGTCTCAGTATAAAGACTACATGATATGAACAAGTGTATATATGCCATGTAAGTAAGTTCAACACACTAATTTGCTGGTTGATGGATCGTCTCCCTCGGGCTGATTTGTGACAATGAGTAATGTTGTTATTACCATGAATGTAACTGACTGCATCGGGCGTATATTTATTACATGTCGATTTCAATAAAATGTGGCATATCACATAAAACAACACCTTGTAAGGTAATACTTAGATAACGATAAATTAAAGGCAATATCCAGCATGATAATACCATGAACATATAAACAAGGTGTTCACTACTGCACCAATCTGATTAAAAAATAATTAAAATTAATAATAATTATAGTAAATAATCAAAATAAATAATAATAGTAATTATATTTAAAAAAATTAAGCCAACCAGGATCTTATTTTAATCAGATTGCTACTGAACGCATTCTTTATTGTATAATTTTCAAGATCCCAAGAAGGATACGAAATCAATAGAGTTATTTACTTATTTCACTTATTTACTTACAATAAAAATGTAATAACAATCTTGATTAGATGGCATATGAAATGTTTGAATATGGTAAATACGATATTTTTAAGGGGTCGATCAAGGGGGTGACTGGGAATAATTTGATCAGTAATTATTTTCCGCGTGGTCTGGTCTGTACATTTTATAGTTTTCTTGTAATTTTTTTTTACATGTGTCTAGCTTACATCCCCCAACAAATGTCCCTCCCCCCCATGATTTCAAATGCTCGACCCCTCACAAAATTTTCAAGCCCCCTACACACACCATTCAAGCTTAATATAAACTGAGACGCGTGCTGACAGAAACATAATCTTCTACTCTACTTTCTCAATAATGGAATTAGATAAATTAGCGCGATGACCTTTATATAGGCCCTGTCGTCGTCTTCACGTAAACAGGACAGCCCCCCCCCCCGATAACATAACGTCACACCTTGGTCAGTTTGTTCTCGAATAACTAATTTATTAGTTGTGTGAGGTTTGTTCACTGTGACACGGAACGTCTGGTCTCATTTATTGCCGAAACTTTCCGTGACGTATCTGCGTAGGCGTATTTATTTTGAGTAATGGTTCGGCTAAAATGTATCACAAATGCTTACCTGTTTCTCTTTATTTTTTCAAAATGGAATTATTTTGTCCTTTTTTCATTTAATTTATGCACATAATGTGTGGTAATGTAGTACAGTGTTGATAATATAGCTGAAAACGGATTTTTAAATTGGTTACAACACCCCTAAATGCTCCAGGTCATCAACTGTCTTTCTACCAAAGAACACAAACAATGCGATATGTAACAGCAGAAAAAGTCACATAAAACAGCGAGTTACTCGAAAAAAATGTAAAAATCCTTGTTTCTCGGCCTGTTCATTAAATTGTTCGTATTAGATGGAGCAGGGGGTATTGACATTAAAAACAAACGGTACCACCGTAGAGGGAACACTATATAATTATATATAATTATCACGTACACCAGTCACACAATCAAGAGATTTTCTTCACTCCATACAAACTTTCCTTTCACTGATGTATCTCCTAACAATAGAAATTTGAAAGTTCTAATTTAACCAAAAGTGCTTGTGGAATCATCTTGGTCATAGCTTTTAGAGGGTGTGTACAAGGAAATAGAATTTAAGAGTTTCCTTATTGGTTCTTGTTTATTTTTTTAATAAAATAAAATGCGAAGGCCAGGTTACTTGTTTGTTTGCTTTCGCAATTTATACACTCAGTTATTTTATTGAAAATCACCCCCCCCCCAAAAAAAATCACCAGTTCCTTTTTCATCACAATTTCACAAAATATTCCTGTTCATAGTCTGCACTTTCCTGCAGAAGATAGGGACAAAAATAGCTAAATTTTTTTGAGTAAAAATTTACCTAAATTTTGTCTGTTGGCTCCAAAATTAGGGTTCATTTCCAGAAATATTGAATATAGGAAAAAAGTGAAGAAAATTTGGGCGATATTC